CTTCTCTTCTCTCCCTCCATAGGGCTCTAGAAGCTCAAAAGGCACATTTTTGTAACTAAACTTTTAATATGATGAAAATGTCAACCAGTATAAATCTGAGCTGCTTTTGGATTTTACTTAGTACTCAGAGCTAAGAGAGGGAGTATGGGGTGGGTTTTCCTTTCAGGAGACCAAAGCCTATTTGTTCAGTGGGCCAGATCCTAAAACCAAAGTACAGGCCAGAGGAAAACTGGCAAACTTTGACCATCACATAGCAAAGAAGTCAACATCAAAATATTCCCAGCAAAATTCAAGCTAAAAATTTCCCAAGTGAGCCAAGTCAATAGGGGGTCGTCATTTTGGTCCACTTGTTTTGAAAAGGCCCTGACTCTGCTAAGGCAAGAGATATGAGTTGCTGGAAAACTCCATGACAGGTAACTCTCTCAGCGTGCTCACACAGACCTTTGACTAAATGAGAATAATTACGATGCTTCGCTTCCCAGTGTGACCTGGTGATTACACATACATCAATCATTACCATGTTCCACAAATCCCATCTTAAAAGCACCACTCTCTATATTTTCAGCTTTCTCTTAACATTCCACAAATAGTCTATTCCACATTCACAACCAAGAAAGATTTTGTGATCAAGAGATTTGTGTACAAGGTAAAATAAAGACACAACTTAGGTAAATCCTATTTACTGTCTCACACATGCTTTTACTTGATGTAGGATAAGTCTCTTCCAGTATTCCTTATGGTGGTTGTTCTTTCCTAGCTGAAAGTATATCTTGTAGTCTTTGACTCATGGCATTAAGTATTAATACACTGTTTTGACACAATACTTCACAACAAATAACCAAACAAACCTCCTTACAAAATACAGTCCTCTAAAAGCAACTAGTTTACCAACTGCTAACACCACACAGGGCCTTGCACGGTACTAATATGCACCATTATATTCCTCCAGATTTGCTACCTCTCCAAATTAACTTTACATTGTTGCTGTAAGTTAGGGTTTTACGGAGGTATTTTGGGGGGTTTATGTGTTGTGTGTGGTTTTTGGTTTTGTTCTGTTTTTTCTAATATAGCAAATATTCATACGCCAATTCAAGTCAAAGCTAGAGTCGTTAGGTTTCTGGAAGAATAAGACACATTCTGGTGTAGGCTTCAAGTCCAGAACCAGATTAATGGAATTTTAAAATACAAAATTACCTCAGTGAGTATCAACTCTAACTTACACACACAAAAAGAATCCCTACTTTGGCTCTTACTTGAAATTTTTGTCCTGGGAGTCACCTCCAATGCCAACTCATGCTAGGCATCTCTTACTAAGATGTCACTCAATGAGTCATCCAGCCTCTTACTTTTCCTGTTAAGTCATCTATCTCCATGTTGGATTTAACCCATCTTTCCATATCATTTTACTTCTATCATCTACCGTCTGTGCTCTTAAGATTTTCCTACTGAAGTATTTTTCTAGTCCAACCACTAAAAACTAATTCAAAGACTCTAAGAGTTGGGAAGGACCTCAGAGGTTATGTGGTTCAATTTGAATCTGAAAAAGAATACCTCTGTAACATCTCTGGCAAGTGATGTTTACCACTTAAAACTACCAATGGCAGTTCATGAAGCAGTCTAACCCACTTTTTTGACCGGTCTGTAGTCAGAATGATTGTCCCTAATACAATACCTGCTTCTCCCAATGTAGGCACTCAGAAAATCAACACCAGGTTTAAGTCAACCTGGTTATCAGGACCCTCTCAAAAACATAACTTGCATGTCCCAAAAAGTACTTTTACTTTTACCAGACAGACATTAGACAGAATAACTCAAAACAATAGGTATTCAATCTAATAACATAACAAATAAAGTAATGAAATACCCCCCATGCACATGTACATTTTCCCACAGAAGAGCAGAAGGAAAGAACATGTATGGAGTGTACATACATGACCTGGGAACAAATACGGAAGAGGCAAACATAGCTGTTTGTCAATGAAACAGGTGAAGGGAAACACATCAAGAACTGTTATGGCCATGGCACATGTGTGACTAGGGTGATGTATCTCCAAACTGCAGAACTGCTAAAATCTTCTGGTGATGTCAATAAAGTGTTCTCTGCTAGGTACTGTCTGCCCTCCAACATGCATCACATTACCTTTGCCAGATGTCTCATGTCAACTCTCCAATGTTGCCTCTAAAATGATCTCCTGGTTACTGAGCTATATTCTACCACCTTGTGCTGGGCTTTAGGCATTAAGACCTACCTACTGCTCTCTGTTCCCATCTAAAATGTAATGTTTAAAATGTCTTTCCCTATAAAGGGCAGGATGATGCTTTTAGTGCATGTCTTGGAATTATGGCACATTACATCCATCTGGGGAACTAACAAACACCAATAAAACATCCCCAAGTCTTCTCTTTTGAATCCTATTTTCTGATGCTGATGTCAAGTTCATGGTACTAGTCATTATTTGACTTTGAGTTAGAACATTCCTCATAACTCCCATTATATTATAGATCCTGAGCCTGTGTCCTCACAAAGAATTTCTTAGATAATTAGTCTTAATGTCCCACAGGTGTTCAGTATAGGTTGGAGCATTAAGGTCCACCTTATACCTAAGAACTTCTATCAGTGGCATGTAACTGAAACCGGGAACCACAACAAGAGCTAAGTGAAACACACAGGTCCCACAGTCCTACCTTATTATGCTTTAACTACTACTTTTCAGTTAGATTCAAGCTTTCTAGGCCTCCTTAGATTTTATAATGAACTGGAATCTGCCTCTTTACAACTTCTACTCTTGTTTGTCTCTCTAGGTTAAAGCAGAATATGTAATTCAATCTTCTATATGAATTCATCCTAGCTTCCCCTTCGCTTCTCAGAATATCATTCCCAAAGAAGGCAATTAGCTTCCCCTAATTCTGCGTCTTCTCACTTCCAACAGCAGTTGCTCCCTTCACCGATGCTGACATTACTCTGGCCTTACTTCAGTTACCCTAAAAGGTCCAGCATGAATTTATTGATGTGCAATAATACTCTACTATTTCTGAAGGCTTTCCCAATTTCCTTAAGTTTAAATGGGTTTTTCTCCAGTACAAATTATCTGATGTTCCCCTAAGCAATGGGCTAGACCTAAACATCTCCCTGTATTGCTTATATTCAAAGGGTTCTTCCACTATGAATTTTATTATGTAAAGTAAAGTTTGGACCAGACTCTTCTACATTCATTACAATCAAAAAGTCTATCACTAGTAAGAACTGTTATATTCTTTAAGGTTTCCACTTCATTTGAAAGCTTTTTGACACTCATTATCCTGAAAGGATTTCTCTTAAGCATGAAAAATATTTAATGTTGGGTTAGACTTTAATTATTGGTGAAAGTTTTCCCATATTATTAAAATTCAAAGACCATCTCACTGAGTGAATTCTCTTACATGAATTAAGGCTTCCCTTCCAATTGAAGGCTTACCCAGATTCATTACACACATAAGATTTTCCTCCAGTATGAACTTTCTTATCCATACATTAAGGTTTCCCTTGTGGCAAAGATTTTCTTACCTTCATTGCATGAAAGGTTTGCTCTCTAGTATGAGTCATTTCTCATACTGGTAGCTTCCATTGCAATGAAATATTGATGGAAAATTTAGACTTTCATAACCATATTTATAGGGTTTCTCCCTAGCATGGATTTTTAAATATATTTTATATTTTCCCTTCTGGCTAAAGGCTTTGCAACATTAATCAAACTCAATGTATTTTTCCAAGTAAGAGTTAATTTATGTGTATTAATTTTCCCCATATGGTTAAAGGCTTCCCTTATGAGTTCTTGAATGTCTATTAAGTTTTCCTTTCTGGATGAAGGTTTTCCCACATTCATTGCATTGAAAGGGTCTCTCCCTAGTATGAAATACTTGATGGTAAATTAGACTTTGTTGATTGGTGAAGGCTTTTCCACATTCATTACATTCATAGGGTTTCTCTCCAGTATGAATTCTTTTATGTCTTTTAAGACTTCCATTCTGTCTGAAGGTTTTTCCACAATCACTACATTCAAAGGGTTTCTCTCCAGTATGAATTTTTTTATGTATATTCAGATTTCCCTTGAGGTTGAATGCTTTCCCACATTCATTACACACATAGGGTTTTTCTCCAGTATGAACTCTCTTATGTATGTTAAGGTTTCCTCTTGTGGTAAAGACTTTCTTGCATTCATTGCACTGAAAGGTTTTCTCTCCAGTATGAGTTGTTTGATGATGAATTAGGCTTTGATGATTGGTGAAAGCTTTCCCACAATCATTGCATTTATAGGGTTTCTCTCCAGTATGAATTCTCATATGTCTTTTAAGGTTTCCCATCACAATAAAGGCTTTCCCACATTGATTACATGTATAGGGTTTCTCTCCAGTATGAATTCTCTTATGTCGATTAAGGTTTGCCCTCTGTGTGAATGCTTTCTCACATTCATTACACTGAAAAATTTTCTCTCCAGGATGAAATATCTGATGGTAAGTTAGGCTTTGATAATTGGTGAATGCTTTCCCACATTCATTACATACATAGGGTTTCTCTCCAGTATGAATTCTCTTATGTGATTTAAGGCTTCCATTCCATCTGAAGGCTTTCCCACATTCATTGCATATATAGGATTTCTCACCAGTATGAATTCTCTTGTGATTATTAAAGTCTCTCCTTAGTATGAAGGCTTTCCCACATTCATTACATTCAAAAGGCATCTCACCTGAATGAAATCTCTTATGGTTTATAAAGTTTCCCTTTAGGATGAAGGCTTTCCCACATTCATTACATATATATGGTTTCTCTCCAGTATGCATTTTCTTATGTACCCTAAGGGATGTAGGGTACCTGAAGCCTTTCCCACATACATTACATTTCAGGTGTTTTTCTCTAGCATGAGTCAATTTATGTGTCTTAAGGATTCCCTTCCGACTAAAGCCTTTCCCACATTCATTGCATTTATAAGGTTTCTCACCAGTATGAATTATTTGATGTTGCTTAAGGGATGAATGATATCTGAAGCCTCTCCCACAGGTGCTACATTCAAACCGTTTCTCTCCAGTATGAATTAGTTTATGTGCATTAAGGCTTTCTTTCCTGCTGAAGAATTTGTTACATTCATTACATTTATAGGGCTTCCCTTGAGGATGTGTTCTATGGTAAAGAATAAGGTCTGACTGGTAACTGAAGGGTTTCCTGCATTTCTTATACTTGAGTTTCTTCCCAGTAGAGATTCTCTTAGGTTTAAGTGGGTCAAAAAACTGCTTCAAACTCTTTCCAAGAGTACTATATTTAGGAAGACTTTCTCCTATATGAACTCTCTGTTGTGGAATAATAACTGAGCCCAAGTTGAGCTTTCTCCTAAATATATTACATTCATGAACAGATTTGTTAGTGAATATTACCTCCTGAGACTGTGTTTCATGGTTTTCTTTCTGCCTTTCTAATCTGACGTCACAATCCCAAGTCTCTCCCAATGTGGAATGCCAGGGCCCTTCCTTTATGAATCTCTCCTTCAATGACTGTCCTAGAAAAATATCCTCTTTCCCAGCTGTCTCCTTGGTTTCACATCTTGTCTTCTGATTAGGAGAATCTGAAAATAACAAAAACATGTCAATATCCATTTTCCTCCAAACTAGGAACTTTAGAACTCTGATCAAGGTAAAGGTATCTGTGCTATGTTCTAGACTACATCTTTTCCTTCAATATGGAAAAAATAGAACGATCATTTGTTACCAGGAAATTTAAACTCAAAATAGGTGAGGAAGTAGTAACTGATCAACTAGCTGTCCTCAGGAGTTAATTGAATTAATTACAAAATAGTGAAAGAATTTGTAGATAGCATCAGAAATTTCAATATTGGTATTACTTGGGGAAATGTTTACCTGTTCGGGAAGAAAAAAAGTTTAATTTTAGAAACTAGTGACTAAAAAGAAGATAATTTCCAGGAAAATATAAAGGAAAACCTACCAAATCAATGATTTGTAATCACTTAGGGGAAAAAATTGTTGATTCCTAAATCATAGCATAAATTCAATAAGAAGAGATTACATAAACCAACCACACTTCCTTTATTTACATGATGAATGGGATGGTACATGAGGTGTTGCCATAGGCATCAAGGCACCTAGATTTCAGCAACCCATTTAGAAAACACTCTCAAGAGTCTTTGATGATAAGACATGATAAGACACAAACAAATGTGGTTTAGATGCGAGAACAACTCAGTGACTTTTTAGCTGCTCAAATCACCTTACTCCAAAAGTCTAGAATATGGAGCTCTTGTGAACTTATAGTACGTTCTCTGGTTTTATGCCTTAGAACTGTGGATGTGGTCCTGACAAAGTTGCCATTATGTTGTTGTTGTTTTTTCCTTTTTTGCTAGTTAAGTGACTTGCCCAGGGTCACACAACTGTTTTGAGGCCAGATTTGATCTCAGGTTTGCCTGACTTCCGGGCCAGTGCTCTATCCAATGCGCCACCTAGCTGCCCTAAACTTGCCATTTTTGATGAATCCTACATAGCACTCTTACCAAAACTGCTATTGACACAAAGAAAAGAAGCCTGACTTGATCATCAGAGAGCCAGATTGGGAGTCCCTCCTCTTGATGCACACCGTCTGGGCAAGTTATTTAACCTCTCAATTTTCCAGGAAACTCTTTAAGCCTACAAACAGCAGAGAAGGGGTCAATATGCACTGGTAAAGGTAGTTTCTTCAGCTTATTCAATATTTTTATCCAAAAATTTAATGAAATCATTGAGAGCACTCTTACCAATACTGTTGATGACAAGTGTATGTGACATACCAAATATATTAGATGAATAAATCAAGATAAAAAAATCAAAAGGACAGAAAAATGGGATAGCATAAACATGTAATTTAATAAGGATTAATGTGAATTCCTACACTCAGGATATCAACTGTAGAAATACAGTATTGTAGAGACATAGTTGAGCAGCAGGCCATGTTCAAAAGGCCTGGAAATTTTAGTTGACCCTAAGCTGAACATAGACCAACAGTAAACACTGATTCTGCTTATCCTCAAGCTATTCTTATGGACAAGAAGAGGGATGGGCAAGACAGTAGAAAAGGAAGGTAACATGACTGGCCCAATAAAGACTCATTAATATCTAGATGTTAACTTGTTAAGAGTTCCTAAAGGAGTGCCTGAGGGATCTATCCTTGGCTTGGAATTCAACATTCAGCAATTTGAAACCATCAAAACTATATCCACAGCAATTCTGAGTTTTGTGCAGGAATTACATCACCCGCTGACTGCTTCTAGAATTCTGGCTATTTCTCGATCTGTTATCCAATTCAGATCACTGCTTTACCATCATCCCATAAGAGCTTCACCTCTTTGGCAGCCCATTCACTCAGGTTGCACCATTGTCTCTCATTCTTGTAGCTATTATCTACTGACTCCCAGGCCATCCTTCCAACTTTTATCAGACTCCAGTCCCTGCCTAAATCTTCCTCTTCGACCCATCTTTGGCTACATCCATCTTCTCCCCATGCCAACACACTTCCTAAATGGTGGCACACCACAACAGGTAAGGCAAAGTATGATGGGATTCCCACAGAATCTGAGGTGAAAACACCCCAGCAGCCATCTAGTAAAACCTACAAAAGACTGAGGATCCCACAGGCATCACCCCCAAGAAACACCATTAAGGGCTGGTTATAGTTGAAATGTGGCAGAGAATGGAATAAGATTAAAATTTGAGAAACTCTCCTTGGAAAATAGAAGAGAAGCAACAGGAAAAACACTAGATGTAGAAAGAGGGAGACAGCAAGCCTCTGCTGGTGTCCTAGTTACTATAGCTACTAGGCAAATAATCATGGACAGTAAAAAACTTCCCTGAGTTTCAGCAGCTGCAACTATAAAATGCAGACAGTAATACATACATGGCTCACAGGTTAGAGAAGTACATGGTGAGAAAGAAAATTATCTTTAGGTATAAACTATTGAGACTATCACAGAATCAAAGGGAGAACTCAGAAGATCATTTTCCATAAAGCGGTGAGACAGAAACCAGATTGTAGCATTTCAAGGGAAAGAGATGAGAGTGGAGGTGGGGAATTGGAGGAGGGGGTAGAAAGTATATTAAAATATAAGTATAGGATAAGTATATTTTATATATATGATATATGTATAAGTATACAAGTATAAAATATAAATATAAAGCATATTTAAAAAGATGAAATTATAATCACTCCAGGTTGTCATAATGCTATGGATTGGCCAGCTCCTAGCAGATGGAGAGAAGAAAGATGAAACAGAGGGAGAGAGGGAGAGATTGGAGGAGAAGGAAGAGAAGAGAGAAGAAGAGAGACAGGAAGGAGGAAGATAAGAGGCAGAGAGGGAGATTGGGAGAAAAAAGATTGCAGATGATATTTTGGGTGGTGGTGATGTGGTCTCACACAGAAAGGAAAGATAAAAAATCCAAAGTATATAAAACAAGCAATAAGATCAATGAAAGGATTTTGTTTTAAATTCAAATTGGACTTATACTTGTGTGTATATATATGTGCATATATGTACATATGTAGAGTTAGACATAGCTTGAAAGCAGGAAGATCTGAAAAGAGGTACTACAGCTGCAAGAAAAATTAAACAGAAGGAGATAGGAAATTATGGGACCCAGAGTACAAGTTGAGGGGCTGGCATTAGAAAAAAGAAAACCCTTTCTCAAAGAGAATAGGAATAAGTGGAGGGAGATCAGCAAAGTGATGTTTTAAGTGAAAGAGGAGTTCATGGGAGAGAACACACGTAAAATAGAAACAGCGCGTCTGCAAGGACCTAGGAACCCTGCCCAACACCTACAGTGACCATTTGTGATGGTGCTCACCGAGTTTTCCATCTGTTAATTCTTCACTCACTCATTCGC